TTAGCCCAATTTTTTGTTAGCCCATACCAATGTATGCAACCAAAGTTGCAGAAGTTCAACCAAAAAATGAAACTCCCATACAAACTCATTCCCTGAAGGCTCATCACTTGCACAATACATCCTGGGGATCAGAAACCCACATGAGAGTAATAATACAGTATTCACAATACCAAGCTAATAATAAAACCATGTTGTCTGCTCAGTGGAGGGCCATGGTAGACCAGGACCAGATTTACATGCTTGTGATACACACTACTTTTGATCCTGACAACCAATCTGAGAATAGTGTGCTACATGTAGGCTCACAGAGGTAAAATAACTGGTTCAGAATCAAGTGATAGAGCCATGATTTAAATGCTCTATCTACAGAATCAGAGATGGTGGAATAGGATTGCATCTTTGAACTTTTTCTTGATTTACCTGATCACTTTCTGACAAAGGCATAAGCATACTGTTCAAAAAAAATTTTAATACTAATCACACTTATATCTAAATATGTGGCACTTTTCTTTCCCAAAGAGGAAATCTATGACAACTTTTACTCTCAAGGAGGAGAAATGGTCCTTGCCCAGAAACACATTAACTTGGTGGCCTACTTCTGGATGTGCAGTCCACGGCTCTCCACTGCCCTTTTCAAAACAGCCTGGTGCTTAGAGTTGAAAAAATAAAAAGTAACCAACAAAAGCACATCACTAAACTCCATGTGTTAGCACCCAAATTCTCCCCAATTCAAATGTACCAGCACCAATGTCCAAGCAAATCAAGGTGTCTCATTTGTGGACACATGGATGACTGCAAGAATCATTCTACCCATGAGAGTTCAACGGGGAACAGCCCCTCGCAGAATGATATCAGAGTCTGCTTCCACTTCAGAGCTAAGTCCTCAACTGTGAACTTCAGAGTGTGGCAAGAGGCAAAGTGCAGGTATAGGAGTCAAGGAGCCTTGGTTCTAATCCCAACTCTACCACATACTAACTTTGTAAATTGGACCAACCAAAGTTTGTTAACCTTTAAGATTCTCAGTTTGCTCACAGTAGTGGGAATTACAATATCAACGCTCGGCAGATACAGTGATGGTGCGTGGGACAACACATAGACAACAGATAAAAATCTTCTCCCACCCCCTGAAGGACCCTCTTCATTGGGGTGTTGGAACAGCTGTTATGTTGTCAGAAATTTTATAAGCTGATTATTAAAAACAACCATTATTGAAAATTAAATTATATAAACTTAAATAAACTGCCCTTAAAGCAAAGTTAGTAAGGACTCAAAGCTTGTCACTTCACTTTACTGTTACCTATGCTCTTGAGACTTTATGTCTATTAAATCTGTCTGGTAGAAACACTGCATAATGGCAGGCAAACCCAATCTCATCAGTGATGTCACACTTGTGCTTGAAATTAGCCATGTTAGAAATATTTATATGTAAATTGGCAAACACTATAAATTAGAATTCCCCTTTGGAAGGTCAGTTATTAAACAGTAAATAGCACCCCACTGGTATTTATATGTCATTGTATCCCTTTCTGTTCCAGCATCTTGCGTCTTTCCTCTCTACAGGTAATCTACACACACACACACACACACACACACACACATGAAATTTAAACATTTCTCTAGTTAACATGTCTTTCCTTATTCCTTCATTTTCAAATTTATTAAAAGATGTTTCATCTCTGCTGAATTCTATACACTCTCATGATCCACTCCTAAGTCAACTTTTGTGCCACCATAACCAAAAGACAGGACAAGAACAATTTTAGAGGAGGAAAAAATTATTCAGCACTCAGGGTTTCAGAGGTATCAGTCCATAGATGGCTGACTCCACTGCTCTGGATCCCAAGGTGAGGCAGAACACCATGGCGGAAAGTGTGGAGGAGGAAAGCAGCTCAAGATGTAGCAATCGGGGCAGAGAGAGCTCTGCTCAACAGGAACAAAATATAAACCCACACCCCCAATGACCTACTTCTTCCAACCACACCCTACCTGCCTCTAGTTATTACCCAGTTAACCCATATCAGGGGATTGATGCGCTGATTGGGTTAAGGCTCTCATAACTCAATCATTTCACTTCTAAATCTTCTTGTGTTATCTTACACACGAGCTTTTGGGGGATACCTCATATCTAAAACATAACACACTCATTAAGTTATTCATTTCAAAAAAATCTAAGCAACTGCTATTAGACAGGCTCTGCATCTGAAACTGGGGACACCACTGTAAGCAAACACAACATGATTCTACCTTCATGAAGTTCACAGTCACACTGCAGTCTAACTTCTGTCCCACCTTCATAATCTCCAACCCTTTCCTAACTCCCTTTTCCTCCTACTTTGCCTTCTGTTAAAGAAAGAAAGAGGAAGAAAGAAAGGAAGGAAGGAAGGAAGGAAGGAAGGAAGGAAGGAAGGAAGGAAGGAGAAAGAAAAAGAAATTTGCAATTTTCCCAATTGCTTTATATTCCTTTCCTCCATGGCTCTCCACAACAGGTCCAGATTTTCTCAACATTTTGACCCTTCACCCTTCTTTCCTTTTCCTCAGGAATTTCGCACACTGCTTTAATTTTATCTACTCCCAATTTTTAGAGACCTCAGTTCAGTTCTTTCCTAGCTTTCCCTTCTCAGTAACCCAGACCACCATCCACCCAACTGTTTAAGCCAGAAACCTGAAAATCCTTGTTTCCTTTCTTTCCCTCTTCCCCATCCCAAACATCAGTACATCCCATATTCAAAATATCTCCTAAAGTCACCACATTCTTTTATCTCATTCTCTCTCACCTTCAGTCAAGATCCTTTCTTTCCTCACCCAGCCATATAAAGCCTCCTAAGCCTTTTCCTTTCTTTACTCTTGCCTTCCAAACACCATGCACCACAAAGAATCTAGAGAAAACCTTTTGAAAAGAAATGTAATCAGGTCTCTCCACATTTTTAAAATAAAACCTCCAATGTTTTCTGTTATGGTTTGGATGTAGAAATGCCCCTGGAAAAGCTCGTGTTTTGAAAGCAATGGTCCCCAGTATAGCGCGATTTAGAGGTTAAGCTTTTAGACCATGGTTAAATCATACAGGGTATAACCTCATCAGTGGGTTAATTCACTTGATGGATTAATAATCTGAATGGAGTATTAGGTGGTAACTATAGGCAGGTGGAGGTAGATAGAAGAAGTTTGTCACAGGGGGCATGGCATGGACTATATCTTGTCCTGGTTCCTCTGTCTCCCTCTCCCTCTGTTTGCTTCCTAGCTGCCATGAGCTGAAGTGGCTTTCTTCTACCATGCCTTTGTGCCATGATGTTCTGTCTCACCTCAAGCACAGGGCAATGGAATCGGCCAACCAAGGCTTTGAAACTAGGAACCAGAATAAACTTTTCCTCTTTTAAGTTGTTCTAGTCAGGTATTTTGGTCACAGCAACTAATAACTAACACATCTTCCGAATGAATCCAGAGTATAACCCGCACTTGCTTTTATGACAAATAAGGCCTTTTATTTCCTGGGCCCTGCCCACCCCCAACAATATCCCACTTTCTCATCATTCTCAAGCTGAAACTTCTCTACCCAGATCTTTGCAGGGCTGGCTCCTCACCTCATTCAGCATTGAAGGGGCCTTCCCTGACCTGCCAACCAAATTCCCCAGACCCACCAGTAATTCTTCATCACCTCCAGCTTCACGCTCTGCTTAGCATTCACATTGTTCATTCATTGTTGAGTGTTTACTGTATGTCTTTCTCTCCAGAAGGAAGGCCATACAAAAGCAAGCAGCTAGTTCTCCATATTTGCTAGGACATTTCTGGTGCCCAGAACTTGCCTGACTCATGTCAGACACTCAGTAGACACTAATGAATCCAGCAAGCAAGCAAACAATCAATGAGTGTTAAAAAATTAAAAATAGCAAAGCAGACTAGGACTGTAGCTATACAGTAAAGAGCTTGCCTAGCATGGGTAAAGCCCTGGGTTCAGTCCCTAGGAATGAAGGGGGTTGGAGAGATCACCAAAACTGGGAATTATTAAAAACAAAGACCCTGAGAGGATAAAGTTTTAATGGACCACACAGAAAAATAAGAATAGGAATCTAAAGTAGTAAAGTGTTAACAGTATGAACAAAAGTTCCATATGTCAAAATAATTGGGAGGCCATTCAGCTGAGGCTGCTCTAGCACCCTGGACTTTACATAAGCAAACCAAAGCACAACTTAGAGGAAATGGCAACATGAAACTCTAGCTTAACCAATCAGAAATCATCAACTGATCTCTAACTAGGGACTTTCCCCTGGAATGATCTAAATAAGGATACTGCCACACTTAACCCATCAAGTATTTCACTACTCTGCTTCTGTATTCGCCCTGTAAAGGTCTCCTCTTCATTCCCCTGTATTAGCGCCTCAGACCAGCTGTGGTTTGGACTGGCAATTCACTAATCACTGCTCAAAGAAACCCTTTAAAACTGTGAAATGTCTATATATCTTTTAACAAATGTGTGCTAAATTCTGACTTGCCCATGGTTTGAGCTATTTGTGAAGCAATGTAATTTAGTTGAGCACACCTGTGCTGAAAAATACTGCTAATTTTCATGGCTAAGTTAAAATATTCAAAAAAAGAAAGAAAAAGAATAAACATTTCATACTCAATTTTCCTGCATCTTCTAAAACGCTAGAGGAGTAGAGTCCCCTGGACTTCCTCCCATACTTGGGCTGTACTAACTTCATGGCAAACAAAAAGAGCAGGGAAGAGAGGGGGGAGTGGGAGAGCACCTTCCTCCCCCAGAAAAAAGGTAGGTGAGGTATCACAGACCACCCTGCATCCCCTAGCTATTCCTTTCTCATCCAATCTAATATAGGCTAAGAAGGAAGGGAGGAAGGGAAGGAGAGAAGGAAAGGAAAAGGAGGGAAATGTGGAGAGAAGGGGATCTCAAAGAGTCGACTCAAGGCTTTATTTTTCCAGCATCACAGGTGGCACTATAAGATACTGGACGCTGAAAACATGCACAGCCAAGAAACCCAGGCCAGTACCTCATCAGGGACCACACAGCTCGTGGTGACACCGGGAATCCACTGCTCTTGGGTGCTGGTGTAAGTGAGGAATGGCAGCCACCCCACGCTCCTTTGTGAGGGAACCGCTGTTTCCCGTTCTCCCGGTGGGACTGGGCTGGCAGTGAGGAGGGCTGGGGGCTCCCAGGCTGCTGTAGGCTATGCTGATGGATGACCCCGTTGCTCCTAATTGTGCACAGAAGGGAGGAGAAACAAAGTCAAACGGAATGACCAGGCTGGCAACTAAAACACCAGCACCCTGCCCCAACCCCCAGGTCCTACTCCCTAGAAGCAACTATTCCCAAGTCTCTGAGCCCTTTGCTTCTGGTAGTTACTAATATATATATATATATATATATATATATATATATATATATATATATATTTAAAACATAATTACATTATTATTTATTTTAATCAGAACTTAGTCCCCCGTAGGTGGTCACCAAGGCACCCACAGACAAACACACTTCCTTACCCCTCACATTCCAACTATGGTCTTCTCATAATATTTGATTTTGGTGGTATTCAGGATTAGACATTATGATGATCTTATCAAATAAATGTTCATAGCTGGGCCATCTGATGTACTCTTATTACATTTTCTATTATGAATCCTCTGAGATAAAATTTGTAATCACCAGATGGACAAAAATTTAAAAGTGAGATACTTGCAAATGATGCCGAGAATATGAAACAAAGGTGATTCTCCATGACCGCTATAGTCATTTCACAAGCAATGACTCAGGATGTGACCCAGTGAACATGCTTCTGACCTAGCAGCTCCACTTCAACAGTTGTGGCAGAGAGAAAGCCTCATGTATTTGCACAAGAACACATGCACAAGAACTTCATTGCAGCAGTTTATAAGAGTATAAATGTAAATGTGGATAGCCTGAACTACAAAATTAGAATGATGGCTAAATTATGATAATTAAACATTATAGAGCAGTAAAAATGAATGAAATATAGCTACATACATCAACACTGATGTATCTAAAAAGCCTAATGCTAAATGAAAAACAAAAGTGATAACATTCATGAAAAGTTTCAAAATACTATGACTTGATATTCACTGTGTATATATAAGAAATAATGCCCTAAAAATAAAAAGTGTCAAATTCAGAATTATGTTTATCTTTGCAGAAAGAGGGTAGGAACTGAGGTCAGAGAATGTCATTTTCTACGTTAGAAATTACATCCTCACTTTAAAAAAAAAAAAAAGAAAGAAAAGAAAAGCTAACTTTCATGGGTTGAACTTTTCCTTTAAATGTTTCCTCCTAAAGGTGATGTCAAATAAAAGAAATTCTACTCCATTCATGTAGTCCAAACCAAGGTTTAGGAATAGATTACTCTTCTGAAAGGAAAGTGCTTCCAATATTTACTTCTATGACTCCTTTCTGCTGCTGGATAACACAAGGAAAGACCACCTAGCACCAAGATGCTTATTCTAAAGGAGCACATAAAGAGTAAAGAGGGGGCAGACTCCTAAAGATCTGTGCAACTCAGTGCATGTGTGCCTTCTTACAACCTCATGAAATTCTCAAAGAGATTCATGACCCTCCAAATGCTCAGAATCTCCGAGCTGGTGTCAAGAATCTCATAGAGCGTGAGCAGGGACATCCTGCAGTCTCTTAAATCCCTGTCCTGTGCTCTTTCTACAGAGGCAGTGGTGCTCAGAGATCATTTCATGGCTCTAGGGCCACACATCAGATGTGGGTCCAATCCTGGTTGCACTTGGATTGAGTAGCTGTGGGGAGGTGCTTTCTGAGCCTGCTTTTTCCTCTGTGAAATGAAGACCACAGTCGCTGAGAGCAAATGGTGTGGCACAGAACCTAGTGCCCAGTCAGCACTCAAGGCACACGAACTACCCAGGGCCAAGTCTCCTTGTCAAATGCTCCCATATCCTGCCTACCGCCTTTCATCAATCACCTGTGTAATTGTTTGATGTCTGTCTGCCCAGCAGCCTCTATGCTGTTTGAGGGAAGGAACTCTGTCTTGTTCTTGTTCAGGCACAGAATAAGCTATGGGTTGAATGGGTGGACAAAAGCATGAAGGAAAGAAAAAATTCCTCCAATTACATAGTGCTGCTGGGTTTGAGGACTAAAAAATGTGCTGTGTACACAAATCGAAACTCTATATCATCAGTGTTACTCCTTCCATGGAACCTCAAGCAAGTTTGTATGATGAGGGCAGATTATTAAAGAAAGAAAAGAGACAATTATCCTTTTTGAGAAAAGCTTGGTTCAACAATGACAGGAGGGAGAGAGAAAGGAAGGCAGTCAACAGAGAGTTGAAGAATCCCAAGACCAAAGGAGATAGGACTTTAGTGAGGGCATTCAAACAGCTCTGGACTGGTGTACAGGAGAAGGTGCATCTGTGATCAGTTGTTACAGCCCTATGTTGTCAGTGAGGCAAAGCAGGAATAAGTTTGGAGACAAAGATGAGGTGATGCAAGAAGTGGGAAGCAAGAGGGATCTGTAGATTGTTCTCCAAAATGTGGGGCAGGCAACTGAGATTACTCCCATGAGCTGTAAAGGTAGAGGAAAGGCATTCTCGCCTAAGTCAAGCAGGGCCTGCGGCTCCCAGTTTTCTTGGTGGGAGCTTGGACAAGGTGATCACTGGGTTCCTTCTTTTTATGTCTCTGAGATTGCAGAGAGCTAACAGAGAGCGAGACTGTATTTAAATTATCTCCAAGTTTCCCAGGCAGAAAGGTGATCAGAATTAAATGACTCACCCCAACCCACTGCCACTCAATAGCGTTGCTCATATCTTTATGTTAAGAAGTATAAAGAGATAGGGAATGGCACAAAGAAACAGGACTTTTTTTTTTAATTCTTCATTTGACAAAGCAGAAGAATAAATTAGCTACATTTTTAAAAGTTCAAAAATAAGGGACTTATGATTACTGAAAAATAGGGTTTATGTGTAAAATTATTAAAGTTGGTAATTATAGATTTGATAGAGGAAGAAAATTATGGTATGTACTTGAAGTTTTAATATGCCTTAGTGATTCTTATTATCTACAAACCACTGAATAAAATGAACGTGCCTTAAAGTTTTTAAATGAAAATGGGTTACTAGGTAAGCTTGTTCTTTAACTGGAAAATGACATGTAAGTATTCCTATATGGTTTCAACTCGCTCTTCATGGAATTTTAAGAGGCACTTCCTAAAACTCTTAAGTACTGTCACTACTAGAGAGAGAAAACAGGCTCCAAGTGAGCAGTACTCTTAGGTGGATAATACTCATTTGAATTCAGAGATTCAAAGCAAGCTGTCAAAACTATTAGCATTTGTAACCTCCCTGTGTGAATCAAGCTTTTCTCAACAGGATGCAGCAAAAACAACCCAGCAGTCTGAACTTGCAGTTAACAAAGATACTTTTCAATTCCAAATTTGGGACCACCTAAAATTGCATAGTCTTTATTGAACTTTATAAAACTGTGAAGAGGCTAAACAGATACAATGCATTTATCTTAATGAAGTAAGTCATGTTTATTGTATTATGGTCTAAGGTGAGACAAAGTACTTATATATTTTTTAAACGGAAGTGGAAAACCATACGTTTTTTTCAGTCATTTTCTCCCTAGGCAGCGCCTAATGTCAGAACTTTAAAATGACTTACGTCATGTCTTGCTTGTGGGAGAGGGAGAAGAGGTCATAAACCAAGCACACTCCAAACACGGTGATTCCCGTCTCTTTCACCAGCATGGCACAGGTCCCCAGAAACAAACTGAGCAGCAAGAAGAAGGGAGAAGCCGTGGGAGGGAAACATTCCCCAGCACAACACTGATCCAGACTCCTGGAAAACAAGGTGGATGTTCTTTTAAATTAAGAAATGTGGGTCACTAAGAAACATTACCTTAAAAGATAAAAGGTAGTCAATTTCTTTGCATCCTAAGCAATTAAGTGAGTCAAGATTTCTTCCACAGTATTCATCATGGAATTAAAATTACTAAGATGAAAAAAAGTTAATGTACTCAATTTGAGTACTTAAATTATGGTACATATAAATTAGGATAAAATGTGGCATGTAATAGTATGTAAATATGGATGTAAATTATGATAAAATATGGTATGTCATAAGTGAACATTCAAAAGTCATTTAAAATGTCATCATAGAGCTATAGTTAGAGAGAAAAGAAGACATTAAGTGAATACATTGTAGGTGAATAATACAGGTTACTAAACAACCTGCATGAGCTCTGGAGCCATGGTCTCTGGCTCAAATCACAGCTCTGCAGTTAACAAAGAAGTGAGAGAGCAAGTTACTTTGCCCCCTGTGCTTTGGTCCCCTTATGTGTGAAATGGGAGTCTAGCATTACTGGGGGCATTGAAGAAATGACTTATTACATGTCAAGTGTTTATCATCACATTATTATGAGTCAAGTGTTTTTAGGTGTTCTATACACAAAGCAATCAGTAGATAATTAATTATACCAAAATATAGTAGCTTTTTTCTCTGGAAAGGAAAAACAAATATTCTTCACATTTTAATTTTCTTTTTGCTAATTAATATTTTTAAATTTACTTTCCATGAGCATGTGTTAGATGAAGTTATTTTTTCTCGATTAAATCTCCAATAGAAATTTTCAAAAATTCTGTAGTGGTATAAAAGTCTTTCTTTCCACCTTACAAAATACAATTGACCCCAAGAAATAGCATTGTTTTCTTTGACAGTTGCCAACCCTGGGATCCTATTTCTTTAAAGTAAAGGCTAAAACTTCTTGTGGTATCTTCTTCTTACTATTGCATCTTTGAATAATTACATAAGATTTATGCAGAATTTACAGTAATTGTGCATTTTTCTATGCATTTTCTGTCTACAGCTCAAATTTCTAAAGGTAAGCAGGGCATGCACGTCCAACCTATAATAATAAGACTCATTATCACACCAATATGGACAGGCTGCAGGGCTAATCAGTCATTTTTCCCAAATGTATCAAACACACACAAAAAGCCCTAGAAACAAGTTTAAATTAAAGTGAGTAATTCCTGTCTAACACCAGAGTAAAAAGGAAACAATTCATTGTTAAATTTGGGCTTTTTAAGATTTTATTATACTGTTCATATGATTGCGAATGCAAAGCCAGAACCTGGAGATGGATATTGCACTAAAAAGAATGCTCCGCCCTTAAAAAAAAAAAAGCTGATTCATTTCATTCTTGATCCAAGGTCTAAATTGGTTTATAACAGGGTTCCTCTGTCTCAGCACCATTGGCATTTTTCAACCAGATAATTCTTTGCTGCAGGGCCTATCCTGTGCATTGTAGGATGTTTATTTAACAGCATTCTTGGCCTCTACCCCTAGGTGCCAGAAGCACTTCTTGGGTTGGGACAAGCAAAACTGTCTCCAGATGGTGCTAAATGTTCCTGGAGGGAGTGGGGGAATGGTGGCTGGGGAATGAAAAGAAATCACTCCTAATTAAGAACCACTGGGTTAGAACAGTGTTCCTCAGTCACTGGACTCCGAAAGATCACAGGTCAATGAACTGATCAAAAGTTCACAGTTCACAAATCCTTAACCAGGCCTCTCTCCACCGAGCAAGGTGACATGACTAACCCACCCACCCGCTTTCCTGGGCCACACTCTGAGCACTCTACCCTTTCCCACATTCTCTTTTCAACTCCTGCCTTATGTAGACATGTCACAAATCAAGTAAGAATCTCATGGTTTGGAGAGTAAAGGCACAATTGAACAGAAAATTATTTTATTGCTTTCTGTTTTCCCAAAGCAAAGAATGTCTGTATTTCAAAGAAAGGATTATAAATTGTACAACTATAGTTGAAAAACACTACTTTCTGCTTAGCCTTGTTATTTTAAGCTTTGAGCTACTTTGGTGAGGATGATAAAGAGGAGAAACAATCAGGACCAAAATGAAAAGGAGAAATTAAGCAAATCATAGGCAAATAGAATAGAACACTGTGCCCAGTATATTTTGGCTCAGAGCTAAGATTCCAAATTCCATTCTCAGGCAGAAACTACCAGTAAAAGGAATCAAGAAGCAAGAGCTTGGATTTCTAGAACTGGGGGGAAAATACTCTTTTATAAATGATAGGATATGGTTCAGCATGGGGCTAGAAGAGACAACCGGCCAGTATTGGATAAAAAGAGAGTTTTTATCCCTGGAGCTCATGAGCACAGTATCACCCTGAAGCCTCCCTTCTCTCCAAGCAGATGCTCACTCTACACACACAGCATGGCTGTAATCACAGAGGAGGGCTTGCTGAGCCATACATACCTATTGTAGGAGAGGAAGGCCAACAGGAACAGGAGACACGCTAACACGTCAGCTCTGCCAACAATCCCAGCCACCTATGAAGTTTAACACAAAGAAAAATTCAAAAACTCAGAATATTCTGTCAGAAAAATCTCACAGAAATGTCTTTGTTTCTAGATGAATAATATCATGTACAAAATAGTATAGTATAATAAAATAGAATACATATTATTCTTCAAATTCTGACATGACTAACTACCTCTGATCAGTAAGAATTAACAATAAGCTTACAGAAGGAGAAAAAGAAGAAGTGGCAAGATTTTCATGCTTAACTTTATTTTTAACTTCTCTTGTAAAGAGGATCAATTTATAGCATCAAAGCTTATTCATTTATTATTATTATTTTTAAATCTTAAAAAGAGGGCTGGGGTGTTGTTCAGGGATAGAGCACTTGCCTAGCACATACAAGACCTGGGTTCAATCCCCAGTATCATAAAAATAAAATAAATATTCTTTTGAGCAGTAATGGAATGTGTGACACTCCTAATCTTTGGATACCACAGTGGTAATGAAGCAGAGGATACTTATATATTTATAGAATAGAAGGAACAAGTAAGCTGAGGAATCAATATTTTGGACAAGAAAGGGAATAAGTTTGAACTAACAATCATTCCACCAGAGTATATGTTCATGCAATTGTGTATATGCATATGCAAGTTTATGTGTATGTCTGTGTGTGTATGTGTGTGGGTGTGTGTACACATGTGCACACACGTGTGCATATTTCTAAGATCTGCCACTGCACTGGCTAAAAAGTAGCAAAGTAACTTCCTGGCACACCCAAAATCAGTCCCCATTCAAGAGAACATTGGCTCCTTGGAAAAAGGGCTGATTACTGAGATGAGGGTGGAAAGAATCAAGAAAAGTTTCTATCATCTTCTCACAGCAGTAAAAAAGGACCTAAAAAATTAAAGTCAAAAGGTCACAGAAGCCAGCAACAAGGGGCTCCCACTGACCAAACCTGAGACAATTTGAATATCAAAATAAGTAAGGACCATGATTTATTATAATCCACTGAAAACAGAAACCTGTGAGTCCATTTGTTTAATATACAAATAATGAAAGAATGGATACATATAGAAGTGCATGCCTACCAAGAGCAAGCAAATGGATGGGAAAGAAGGAGAGCTCTGGTTTCACTGAAAAGCTAATGAATGTGGGGGAAATAAGGGAGGTGAAAAAAACATTTTTGCTGCCAAAAAGAAAAGGCTAGATAGAGCATGAATACCAAAAATATCAATAGGGCAGGGTGTAGTTCAGTGGTAGAGTGCTTGCGAAGCATATGCACTACCCTGGATTGGATCCCTAGTATCACAAAACACAAAAACAAAAACAAATAAAACAATAGATGCAGTCAAATGCTCTACCACTGAGCTACTGGATTAGACAGAGGGGAATGAAGGGAAGGGAGGGGGAAGGGGAATAGGAAAGAGTAGAATGAATTGGCATATTTCCTATGTTCGTATGTGAAAAAATCCACATCATGTACAACCACAGAATGGGAAGTTATATTCCATGTATGTATAATATGTCAATATATACTTTACTGTCATGTTTACCTAAAAACAAATTTTAAAGTTTTTTTGAAAATATATGCTAAATCTAGAACAGTAAAGTTTCCTGAAGTGAGAGATATTAGCATGACTTCAACATCTTCCCCACTGACTACTTCTCTAGAAAAATAAAAAGAATTAATTACATAATGGAGATAATGTGTTACATTGCATTACACATTCACTAGGCAATCAAAATCACCACCCTGAGAAGGATGCCTCATTTATACATTATATATTCTAGCCAAGAATATATAACCTGAATATAATCATGAAAAAAAACAAAGCAAACTCACAGCATCATTCTATAAAAACAGATATAAATATGCTAGTAAATATGATAATTAATAATATATCATATATAGTAATATATAAAATCTATATAAAATTTTATATTAGTATTTTATAACACTAAACTTTTATTACCTTTTAATTTATTCTGGTTTATATTACATCATGATTACTAATTACAACTTTTAATAATCTATTGTCATAATATTGCATATATAATATGCACATATAAGTAAACATATATATGTATATAAGTATACACATATAAGTGTATTATATATATGCATGCATATATTACATATTTGCAATACATTAAATTTCATACATTTTAAATATTTATACATTATGTATTATGTATTTACATATAATATGTTATATCTTTATAATGCTTTTTTATATTTATTAATTTTAATTATGTTACAAATTATAAAACACAATATGCATATTTTTATTATAATTTTATAATAACATTTATATATTACAATTTAATGTATTTAAAACATTTTATAATACAGACACTTCAACCTAAATTCTGAATCATACTGCCATCTATAAATTATATAACAGAAAGACAGTGAAGATTAGTAATTGTTCCAAAATAAAGGAGACTACCGAGAAATTATGACCAATACTCTCAGTTTTAGAAAACATACAACTAAATTATTAACATGCAAAGGGGTATAAATTATGCAACTCCTTCCAAATGTTTCAAAAAACAATATTTTTACAGAGAGGGAGAAAGAGAGGAAGAGTGATAAAACAAATGTGGAAAAACATTAAAAATTAGTGAGTCTAGATAAAAATATAGTCACTCTGTGTATTAAGTTTAAAGTTATTTCAAAAAATGTGTTACTTCAAAAGGGGACTGGAATGGAAGTGGAGTGGGAGACAGATGACTTGTATTATTCTGCCTCACAGGATGTGTGTATTTCTCTTCATATTTTAAAGTCCAAGAAATAAAACTGTAAAGGAAAAAATGGGATACAGATTTTTAAATGTTTAAGTGCTTCTGAGAAAAGGTCCCCAAAGAGCTAGATGAGCAGTTCATGAGAGAAATGAGAAAAGGTGACATTTCGGGCACCAAAAAACAATATCACCCAAATCAGGAGAGCACCTGAGGCCCATGGTGTGTTGAAGAATCCATCAACAAGAACAGAAAATAATTTCTTGGGATGCAGACCCGTGAACATCCTCATCACTAGAGCACAATTTGTGGTCACAGGGAGAAGCGATGGCACAGCAGGGAGTGGCCCATCCACCAGCAGCACAGATGTCTTTTGTCACCTGATTGAGACTTGATTTTGTTATGTTCAATTTCTGAGATTTGGGTTTATCTTTATATGAATATAACAACCCCACCTCACATATTGTTGTCACTAATGACACATGGAAATTGCCAGCCTGATGAACACCAGTGCCCTTCCTCCTTTTCCTTTCAGAGAAAGGGAGTGGAACTCTTCACAAAGGTTTGCCTGTATGGATTGTGGAAATTGTCTTTTCACTTTAAGATGTACATATATGATATCTTAAGCTAATTTTATTAGGCAGTTTAATATATAGTTAAAATATGTATAAATATACTAACTATACAATTAGTATACTGTACATACTGACATATTGTACATACCAATTGACAGCAAGTCACATATTAAGAAAAATTCTAGTCTCTTCGTGTAGTCCAATCTATAAGAGAAACCTAAACACAGCCAAAGAATTGTATCGGCAGCAGAGAGCGAAAGCTACTACCTAATTTGGCTGCTTGGACCACACACTGTTCATTGATTGCTTAATCTATAAGGAACCTGAGTGACAAATCAGGTAGACCGTATGACTCAAGGGAGACCGGCAGAGGCAGTGTGGTATCACCATTGACAAGGCTTACCTCAGAACTAGTAAGCAACAATTGGGCACAGGTCATGTGTGAAGCTTAGATCCACTCAGTCTGCACCTCTGCTTCCTTGAGCATTTAGCTAAGCAACACTGCAAGACTTCCTGAAGGTTCGACAGAGAGCCATCTAGCCTGCTGCAGTCTCAGAAGAAAGCCTAGAGTCTGGGCCTGGAGGGCCCAGTATCCCCAATGTGGCCGAGAACAAGACTTGCAAACTGATATCAGGAGTAGCAAGTTGGAGTGAGGCAATTACAAGCTAGGCAGGCATACCTAATGCGTTAAAGGTGTCCTTAAGCCCTTCAGCCATTTTGGAAGCAGCAGCAACAACATACATCCTGGATGTATAAAATGTAGTAACCCTTTGAGCAGAAGCTCAGAGAGGACATTGAAACGTTAGTGCTGACACTAATAGGCTCCTTGGCCAAACCAAACCATTAAGCATTCAACAAACACCTGCTCTATACACCTTTGAGCTGGGATCTTTGGGGCAAAGAATTAGATATCTAAGAGAAAAGAGTTCATCATCAACTGCTAGAGCAGCCACTCTAGTGATTCAATTAGTCAAGATCATCATGTTCAATAACTGTGTATTTTATTCCAGTTAACAAGAATTTTCCAAGTGCTTATTTGCCAAGGACTGTGCCAACTGGAGGAATACACCCTGCCTCGAGGACTTGAGCATCTGGTGGAGTTAGAAGAGGGCATTAAATATGATACAAGGAAACCACATGCAACACAAGAGGAAAAATCACTGCCAGGAAAAGACTGGAGGGTTTAATTTTGACTGTAGGATCTGGGAAGGCGTCACAGGGGAATGGTTTTGCAATCTGATACTGAAAAGATGGACAAGGAGGATTTCAGAAAGCTGAAGACTAGGGGAATGGAAGCCTCAGCCAGGAAGGGAACAGAGGTGCATTCCAGTTAGAGGATGGGAGTAGGGAAAGAGGTCTGAGGATATGTGGAGAGCTTCTGGAAGAAAGGGCAGAAAGTGATGAAGAGCATAGAGTACATGAAAAGAAGTGGGGGTGCAATGGGAAATGGAAAGGGAATGTGAAGTCGGGGAGCCAGTTGGACTTGATGCAATGACAATGTGGTTGAAACTGTATAGTTCCTTAGAAAATAAAAAAGCAACTGGTCAGTTTTTGGCAACTGAAAAACACAGGCAAAAGAACAGCATGTATTCTGGCCCCAGTTGAAGGTCTATACCACCAAGAGGGTAGTGTAACCTGGAAAATGTAGCCTTTAACCAATGTCCACCCACTGGGAAAGCATCAGTGCATAGAATTCAAAACAGGCTTAGTAT